ATCAGTTTGAAAACAAAGAAATAAAAATGTATTTATTTATAGACAAAATGAAAAAAAAATCCCATGGATTCACCAAGCAAAACAAACTAATTAATAAATCAATTTATAAACTATAAAAGAAAATACTTTAGAATAGAATTCTCGGGCCGGGGATTTAGCTCAGTGGTGCCACCGCCTGCCTCGAAAGCGCAAGGTCCTGATCTTGATCCCCGGATTGAACCCAGCCGCGGCCTTCACACTGAGCTACAGCTCCAGTTCTTTTTTTTCAAAACAGGGTCTTGCACTGTAATTCAGGCTGGCCTTGAAGTCACTATGTAACCCATGATGGCCTAGAACTCTCGGTGATCATCCTGCCTCAGCCTCCTGAGTGCTGGGATTACAATTGTGGACCACCACACTGACTTTATTCTTAAATTTGGAGATGGGATCTAAGTTGCCCAAGCTTGGCTTGAACTTGTGATCTTTCTCTCTCAGCCTTCCAGAGTGCTAGGATTGCAGGTATGCACCACCCTGATTTAGAATTATAATTCTATGTACTAGCAATAAACAACTTAAAATTTAGCCTTTGAAAAGATATTATTTACAAAAACATATACTCAAAGATAAATGAGATATGCAGTAAAATATGTATTCATTGAAAACTGTAAAAGACTGCTTAAGAAAATTAAAGACCTAAATAGAGATATACTGTTTATGGACTTGAACATAGACTATTGCTAATATGTTCTCTTCAAATTGATAAATATTAGGGCCAAGGATTTAGCTTAGTGGCACCATGCCTGCCTCCCAAGCACAAGGTCCTGAGTTCGATCCCTAGTACCAAAAAAAAAAAAGGAAATCGATAAACATTATTATGACTTGTGTCTAGATGTCCCCCAAAGACTCATGCAATCATGGGGGCTTTTTCAGAGGTGGCTGGATCTACAGTGTGTGATGATGAGATTAAGGGTGTGTGATTACTAAATCAGTCCATTGATTGGTTTGGCATAGTTCTGAGTGTGGATAATGGGAAGGCCCACCCTGGGTGTGAGTGCTACCCCTGTAAGGGTGTTTGTCCTAGATAGAAGGGACAGAAAGAGGGCTTCTGGGGCCAGTTGTTGCTTGCTTCCTTGCTACTTTGCTGCCTTCCTGCCTTTTGCCCACCATGAACTATTTCCCCTCTGTCATGGCGCCCTGCCTTGGATTCAGCCAACTATAAACTGAAGCCTCTACAAACTGTGAGCCAACATAACCTTTTGTCCTCTAACTTTGGGTGTTGGGTATTTTGTCTCAGTAATGAAAAAGTTACTAAGACAATTATCAATGTAATCAGAATAAAAAACCCAGAGCTCTTACAATAAATTTACAAAAGGAATCTAAAATTTATATGGAAACACAAAGGATGAATAGCCAAAATAGAACTGATTTTGGAAAAGTACATTAACTGATTTCAAGATGTAAGATGTTAGTAAGGCTTTAAAATATCAGCAAAACTATAGATGAAGAAGGCCTGGGGGGAAAAAAAAGGCATGGGATTTAGCTCAGCGGCACAGCACCTGCCTGGCAAGCACAAGGTCCTGAGTTCAATCCCAGGTACATATATATATATGGGTAATATATGAAGAAAATATGGAAATAGACCAACATATATATAATCACATGATTTTATTTATATATATAATCACATGATTTTATATATATATATATATATACCCCATTAAGTTTAT